GAAAAAAAAAAAAAAAAAAGAGAAAAGCAATCCTAGAGTTGTTGTGTTTTGAAAGCAAATTTATTACTACTTTTTTTTCCTGGATGCACTCAATTATATAGGCAGCATATTTCTATTTCCATCCTATATTCTAGCAAAACCACCTAGAAACCTRGATACAATAGAAAAATGTCCTTTCATGGATATATAGAATGTATATACCTTTTTTAAGTTAAGCTGAATGACTTTGACCTAGACAGAAAGCTCCAAAGYACTTTTCATGCCTCCTTTGTATATGGGACTATACATAATTCATCCCTAAACCACAATTCAGATTATTTCATGGTGCCTTTAACAAAAATGGCAGAATCCTGAGGCACTGACTTTTCTACGAAATCCTCTTGCAAACAGTTTTCAGGCAGGCCTAGCATGAAAACCTACACAGTTATAATTTTTCTATAAACTGGCAAAACCCAATCTGCGTGTTTCTGTGATTTACATTTCAAACTGCACTTTAAACACACAGCTCAGAAGCCAAGATTAGACCCACTTTCATCTCTTTCTCAACCCTTAGATAAATGGCTTTGTGATAAGACAGTGAAACTTTGGCCATATTCTGTTCCGAAGCTCTGCAGATCTTGCTTTTCCACATTTAAGGAGCCACACTGGTTCTAACACAGGACTTTCCTCTTTCTCTTCCCCTCCAAGCCAGCTGGGTCCCTCATCCTAAAAAAAACGAGAAGTATCCTGGGACTATGCAGCCCTATCATTTCTAACAAATGTGCTCAAGTTCCCTTTKTTCATCTTAACCTCACAACAGTTCCTCCAGGAGTCCTGGGGCTTTCCCATCCTTAACTTTGCTGACCCACAGGAAACCCCCAGGACATGCTTGAACACACTGGATTCAAAGACTGCAACACATTTTCAGGTCTGGAAGAYCCTTAACCTCACAAATCACTCAAAAATCTCTTTCCTTCAAAACTGAAGGAACAGTTGCTCGTACCTGTTAATCAATTCCCTAAAAGCTTTAYAGGGAAAAAGCCAAAGCTGACTGTTCTGAAACTTTGACCTCTATAACCTCTTCCAAATTCCCAAATCTTGRCAACAGCTCCTACTGGATGGAATGGGCCAGACACAGCTGCTTTGATCAAGGACTGACCTGCTGGATTCYTGTTAATCCCACTGACCTCAGGGGAAATTACACCAGGAATTAATCAGCTTCAGAGTCACACCAATCTTTGCTATGAATTTGATAAAGCCTCATAAGGGGAGCAGCATTTATCATCTAAACCTTGGAATCAAAATGCCCCTCCTTGTATTTAAGGAGAAAATTAGATTTAATAGTTAAATTAGTCAGTTTAAGGCTGAGACAAAAATCAATGAAAAATTCCAATTTGAAGTCTTCCCTAGCTTATTTAGCTTCTTTGTTGTTGACAAGCAATGCAAATTCACCTTTCTTTGTGCTTTTGATGAAAAGTAAAAGGCATGACATACCATGAGCTGCATTGTCTGAGCAATCAAGCTATCCACAGAACACAATGGCAGCGCTAATTATTATTCCTCCTTTTGCTAATTTAGAGCCTAACCTTAACATTACTTTGCAATGCCATTTTTACTGAAGGGAATTGCTCTTCAGCTGAATTCCTCTCCAGCATCCTGGCACAAATTGTCTTCGCGAGGAAACCATACTCCAGCCTTTGYGATCCAACACTCTTGAAGGGTTTTAACTAATTCATTACAGTCGTAGAGAATGATGCAGAAATAGTAGAATTTYTTTTTCAAGCTCCATTTCAGAATAGAAACACCATTAATTTAAAAGGCACATTTTGGAAACAGCGTCCCTTATCGCTTCTCACCACAACCAGCACCCAAGAACAATGTGAACTGAGAGACATCTCCTCTTTTTTTTTTTTTTTTTCTCAGCATGTTTTCTGCTACTCCTCTCATAAAAAGTGAATTCAAATATTTCACATTGCAGTAATGAGAGGGACTTTTAGCAGAGAGAATCCACAAGGAGTGCTGAACTGCAACAACCACCAGTGTCTGGAGGCACAATACTGCCCTTCTGCAGAGTCCCAGTTTCCCTCTGGAGCAAAAACCAGTATGAGGCATTCAGAATAGTTTCMTATGTAATGCACTCAGCTACAAATCCATCAGATTTAAACAGATACATCCCAAATTACACACAAAATAATATTCTACTTGCAGAACCACATGGAAAAACAATTCAAGGAATCTGAATAGATTGGCTCCTACCTTCACTGGAGACTATTTAAGAAATYTGGTTCTCTGTTTCCAGAGTCAGACCATCCCCAGCTCCCTCTTCACGGGACCAAACAAACCCAGGCTCCTCAGCTGCTCTTTGTAGGTCCCCTGAACAATTTTTTACCCCTTTGACAGACCTTTTCCAGCTTCCCAATATCTCATTATTACAATGCACCCAAAACTGGATACAAAATCCCAGCTGTGCTCTCGCTGGTGAGGAGGACAAGGACAAGGACTTGCCTCCAGGCAGCCATGACCTCCAAGGGTGGTACATGATGTGGTTCACCTTCCTGGCAGTGACAGACTCTCTGGCTCAGTCACCTGGCAGTGAGTGCAGACCTTCCAAGTCTGTTCTAGGTCCTTGGCAAGGAGGAGAGRGCCAAGCCCTGCTGGCAGACAGCAGCTCAGCCACTCTGAGCCTGTCCTTGGTGGTCCCAGGAAAGACACGTGGTGTGAGATCAGATGAGGAGAATGTGAATCTCTGYACACAGGCAGCTAGAAAAGTTCAATCTCCTCTTTCAAATCCAAATGTAGTGGCACAGTCATAGCCATACCCTGGAGCTAAATACCCCCACAGGTCATTCCAGCAGCAGCACATTTTGCCAGGATATTGTTGTTTTATTCAAGCCAAGCCACCCAGGCGTGTCAGCAAATATGGGCAGAGGTTTTTGGTACAGAACCCGTCAATTACTTGTGGCCAGTGAGAAAGAGATCCAGCCCAAAATCTCAAGCTTTTAAATCTTAAATGAGACATTTTGGCATAGCTCCATTTCTGGGAAGACAAAAAACCTTCAATGTTTTGTGTTCATTCTGATAAGATAAAGAATAATTTTGAATGTACCAAAGTTGCTGCCAAACCAAGTTGTTCTCCTAGGGACAGTGTGGCTCCATGCAATTTTAGTGAATAATTAAAAGAAGGCCAGTGTATGTACATTCAGTTTTGATGTTGAAAAACCCATTAAAGCATGAAATCCACAGATCCTTCAACAAATGAATAATTGTATGCACAGCCTTGTCCACATACAGTAGCACTTTCATGGCAACAGCTCCAGTGCTTTTCATACCACACATTTTTAGACTATTCAAGCCTCGATGCTGTGATTGTGATAATGGCACAATTTACAGAAGGCAGCAAAGTACTTGGTGAAACAATCTCAAGTGGAGCCTTTAAGGCAGTGGATCTGCAGTTTTGGAGCCAGTGCAGGTATCAAGTACAGCTCAGGTGAGGGCTGCACTGGCAGAGCCTTATCTCTTAAAAGAACTAAAGCACACAACCATACCAATTTACATTGCTGAGAGAGAATTCCTCAAGGAAGAGCAATTATGCCATTTAGTACACAAAATTCTCTTGAAGATTTCAATATTTTCTCTTGGGCATACTTCTTTTCACTGGTAGGAATTTACTGCACAGCCTAGTTTTCCTTTCAGAGAGGAATAGTCACACACACACCAAAACAAAACACCAAAAAAACTTTCTAGGAAACAGTTACACAAAGTAAATGAAGGTATAGAAGGAATGGATGCCAAGCAGAGGAGAAAGGACAGACCACCTTTTAGAACTGGAAAAAAACAAGAACCTATAAAGAATAGAACTGAATAATCCCTTCCTAATCCCAACACTTCTCCTCCTTGAGATGCTCCAGTATCTGCATCATTTTGGTATGTCCTGTGTGTAGGCTGTGAACTCTTTGCAGTGTGTATCAGCAAAGGAGCTACYCAAAAAGCATCCTGATCCTTGACTGAACCTCGGATTCAGTCCCAGCAAGAGCCAGAGATTTCTTTAAAGGAATGATAAGCTTAGAGAGACCCATCCGAGCTGCAGAGAGACCAGGAGCTCACAGCATTTCTTTCCAAACACAGCCTTTAAAGAAAACATTTTTTATCCKGGTGTCTAATGCCTTCTGAAATTCTGAGATACTCGCTGTTCTGAAAGAGTACTGAAAAAAACAACCATTTCACAAAACAGCCAATGGCAGGAATGAAAAACAAAAAGCCCCCTCATTTCCCCCACCCCCATCTTTAAACTCCTGCCTGCTCTACCCACCCTCAACAATGAATTGTAGACAGGCAAGATCACAGGACAGATATTTGGCAGCACAGCAATACTCTATTTACATCAAATACTCAAGAATTGGGAGGCAGAAATAGGCAGTTGTACAAACCACTGCATCTACAGCTTCTTGTAGATGGAACCTTGTTTTCCTCACCTTTCTTTCTCCACCACGGCCCTTCCTGGATAGAGTAGGACAGTTCTTTAAACTCAATGTTCACAGCTGGTCTGCGGGGCAGGTAGGAGAACCTGTGAGCTTCTGTCAGGGCATTGTCCACTTTTTTTAAGTGTCCATTCATGAGCCGAATGTCCTGGGTGTCCGTGCCATTGGAGACCACCTCGTCCACCGAAACACACACGGACTTTGGCTCGGCCATGGTACAGCCAGAGCTGCTGCCACCCTGCAGGGAAAGTGCAGAAAGGTCACAGATTTTGGTTAAGGAACACATTTCAAACCCTTCTGCACCAGGAGAATTACCCTTTAATGACACAAGAATCCAGCACTTAAATGCACTGAAAGGTGAAAGAGGAATAAAATAAATCAATCTTTTGTTTGTCCTGCCTGAGCCTTGACAGAAGAGGTAAAAGAACTCTAGCATCACATCCAATTTCTTTAACACTACTTTTCCTTTCAGATCTCGCACCAGATTAATACATTTTTAAGTTCAGTCCCCATTGTATTTGGTTTCTCATGCACTCAAGGAATTTGGTTCTGGTTACTCTGATTCCAGGGCCTGCACTGGGACAGAGCTGAAGGGGGAAGGGAGCTGGCTGAACAATTAATTGTGCAGACATTTCAAAAGACAGCCACTCAAAATGTCTAAGAGCTCTTGTTCTTCTGGATGCTCCTGTAAATGTGAAGTTACATTTCTGYGAGTTTTCAAATGTACTATTTCATGCCTTATTTTCTCCCACACTGATAGTTCTGGAGACTCAGCAACCTGGGACGACAGTACAAGTTATTTTCTGGAGGTCTTTGAGGAAAGAACAATGCTTTGCACCCAAAATCCTTGTGTTCTTTCCAGGYTTGATAGTGACAGCTAATGGAAATCTTATCAGCTCCACATAAACCCTGCTCTGGTTCTGGCACCACTGACACTGTAAGGTCAATGTTCTGTGCTCACAGGCATATTTCTTGCTACACTTTGCCTACCACAGCACTCAGTGCAGTTCCACATGGCACTTTTTTGGAGTAAATCTCCTTCCCTTCCTCTCCTGACCATGACA